TTAGAAAAATGAGTTGGCAGCTCTATACCTCAGTCTGCAAGGGAGTTATAATAATGCCTGCTTTTTACTGTTACAAAGATTAATGGAATAAATCTGTTACAAAGATTAATGGAATAAATCTTTGTTACAAAGATTACTGGAATACAAAGATTACAGATTACTGTTACAAAGATTAATGGAATAAATCTTTGTTGGCTTAACCATAGATTTTGTAGATTTTTTTTATCATGGTAAGGATAATTGGCTGAGAGTTTTTACCATGAATGAATGTTCAATTTGTCAAATGCTTTTTATTCATCTATCAATATGATCATGTGATTCTTCTTAAGCCTGTTGACAAGATAGACTACTTAATTTTCAAATGTTGAATGAGGCTTGCCAAAAAGATATATTCCACTTGGCCATAATGTATAATTCTTTTTATATGTTATTAGATTCTATTTGCTAATATTTTGTTGAGAATTTTTGAATCTACATTCATGAGAGATATTTGGTCTGTGTTTTTCTTTTCTTGTAATATCTTTGTCTGGTTCTGGTATTAGAGTGAGTTGGAATATGGAATGGAATGAGTTAAGAGGAATTCCTTCTACTTGTATCTTCTGAAAGAAATTATAGAGAACTGGGACTTCCAGCCAAGATGGAGGCATAGGTGGACGCACTGTACCTCCACACACAACCAAGATTGGAACAACAACAATATAGAGGCAGAATAACATCCAGAACTGACAGAAAATTTATCTGAATGGAAGTTGGACAGCCAAGAAGTTGAAATACACCTGTTCATCCAGACCGGTAGGAGGGGCGGAGACGAGCAGCCAGGCACGGGTTGCAGCACAGAGACCAGAGCAAGTTGGGCACATAAGGCATCCAGGGGCTTGTAAGGCATCTGGGGCACACAAGATCACAGCAGGTGGACCCTGAGTATGCAAGCAGCAGCTGGCAGACCCAGTGAGGTAGCGATTGTGGAGCAGGGCAGAGTGCACAGCCCAGAATCCCAGAGAAGGGACTGAGGTCCCATGGAGAATGGAGCAACCGCCATTGTTCCCTCTCGACCCTGCCCCCACATACAACATCACAGTCTAGGGACTGGGGTGCCCAGCCCTGGTGAACACCTAAGGCTCTGCCCCTCACCATAAGAGGAGTGACCAGACCAAAAAAAAAAAAAACAGAGAGAGATGGCTCAAACAGAAGAACAAATCAATGCCCTAGAACTCATCCTTTTAAGCAACTGAGAGATAGCCAACCTACCAGATGCACAGTTCAAAACACTGGTGATCAGGAAGCTCACAGAATTGGTTGATTTTGGTCACAAATTAGATGAACAAATGCAAGTTACCATAAAAGAAATGAAGGAAAATGCACAGGGAACCAATAGTGATGGAAAAGAAACTGGGACTCAAAACAATAGAGTGGACCAGAAGGAAGAAAGAAACAACCAAACAGGAAAGAGTGGAGAAATAAGAATTCAAAAAAATGAGGAGAAGCTTAGGAACCTCCAGGACATCTTTAAACATTCCAACATCTGAATTATAGGGATACCAGAAGGAGAAGAGGAAGAGCAACCGATTGAAAACATATTTGAACAAATAATAAAGGAGAACTTCCCCATTCTGGCAAAGGAAATAGATTTGCAGGAAATCCAGGAAGCTCAGAGAGTGCCAAAGAAGTTGGACCCAAGAAGAAACACACCAAGGCACATCATAAGTGCATTACTCAAGGTAAAAATGAAGGACAGAATCCTAGAAGCAGCAAGAGATAAGGGGACAGTAACCTACAGAGGAGTTCCCATCAGACTGTCAGCTGATTTCTCCAAAGAGACCTTACAGGCAAGGAGGGGCTGGAAAGAAGTATTCCAAGTCATGAAAGACAAGAACCTATATCCCAGATTACTCTATCCAGCAAAGCTTTCATTTAGAATGGAAGGGCAGATAAAGTGCTTCTCAGGTACGGTCAAGTTAAAGGAGTTCATTATCACCAAGCCCTTATTTTATGAAATGTTAAAGGGACTTATCTAAGAAAAGAAGAGAAAAAAACATGTATAGTAAAATGACAGCAAACTCACAATTATTAACAACCACACTTAAAGCAAAACCAAAAGAAACTAAGCAAACAACTAGAACAGGAACAGAACCACAGAAATGGAGATCACATGGAGGGTTAGCAACAGGGGAGTGGGAGGAGGAGAGAGGGGGAAAAAGTACAGAGAATAAGTAGCATAGATCGTAGGTTGAAAATAGATAGGGGGAGGGTAAGAATAGCATGGGAAATGTAGAAGCTAAAGAACTTATAAGTATGACACATGGACATGAACTAAAGTGGGGAAGTGGGTGGGAGAGGGTGTACAGGGTGGAGGGGAGTGAAAGGGGGAAATGGGAAAACTGTAATAGCATAATCAATAAAATATATTAAAAATAAAAGAAAAGAAAAAAAGAAAAAATTATAGAGAACTGGTGTAATTTTTTCCTTAAATTGTTGGTAGAATTCACCAGTAAGCCCATCTGAAACTGGTGCTTTCTGACTTGGGAGATTGCTAAGTATTGATTCAATTCCTTTAATAAATTATATGCCTACTCAGATTGTGTATTTCATCTTCTGTGAGTGTTGGTAGATTGTGTCTTTCAAGGAATTGGTCCATTTCATCTAGGTTATCAAATTTGTGGGCATAAAGTTGTTCATAGTATTTCTTATCATTTGAATGTCCATGGGCTTTGTAATGATGTCTCCTCATTCATTTATGATATTAGTAATTCATGTCCTTTTTCTTTTTTTATAATTCATCCTGGCTAGAGTTTTATCAATTTTGTTGATCTCTCAAAGATCACTGATTTTCTATGGCAATTTCATGTTTTCAATTTCATTGCTTTCTGCTCAAGTTTTTATTATTTCTTTTTTTCTATTTACTTTGGATTAATTTGTTTTTTTTCTAGTTTTTTAAAGTAGAAACTTATAATATTGGTTTTTAGGCCTTTCTTTTCTAATATGGGCTACAAATTTTCCTCTGAGCATTACTTTTGCTACATCACACAAATTTTGATAATTTTCATTTTGTTCAAAATACTTTAAAATTTCTTTTGAGATTTCTTTCTCTGACCCATGTGTTATTTAAGCTCTGTATAACCTAGGGTTTCCCGTTATTTTTCTGATATTGACTCCTAGATTAATTCCATTGTGGTCTAAGGCCAGACATTGGATGACTTCTATTTTTTAAAATATGTTGAGGTGGTCTGGAAGAGGGTTTGTCTTGGTGAATGTTCTTTGTGAGCTTAAGAAAAAAAATGTGTATTCTGCTATTGTTGGATGAAGTAGTCTGTAGGTGTCCATTATACCCATTTGATTGGTAGTATTGTTGAGCTCCACTGTATCCTTACTGATTTTCTGCCGTTTGGACCTGTCCATTTCTGATAGAGGGGTGTTGAAATCTCAAATTATAATAACAGACTTATCTATTTCCCTTTATAGTTCTATCAGATTTTGCCTCACATATCTGAAGCTCTGTTGTTAGGCACATACATATTAAGGATTGCTATGTCTTCTTGGAGAATTGACCACTTTGTTATTGTGTAATGTCTCTTTTTTCCCCAGATAACTTCCCTTGCTTTGCTGTCTGCTCTGTCTAAAATTAAGGTAGCTACTTTGCTTTCTTTTGATTAGTGTTTCCATGTTTTTCTTTCTCCATCCATTTACTTTTTAATCTATATGTGTCTTTACACTTAAAGTGTGTTTCCTTCAGGTAACACAGCTGAGCCTTGTTTTTAATCCACTCGAACAATCTCTGTCTTTTAATTTAGACCATTGACATTCAAAGTGATTATTAGTATAGTTAATATTTATCATATTTGTTACTATTTTCTATTTGTTACCCTTGCTCTTTGTTGCTGTCATTGTCTTCCCCTCTTTTTCTGTCTTAAGTGGTTTTAATTGAGAATTTTGTATGATTTCATTTTTTCTCTTTTCTTGGTATATCAATTATGCATGTTTTTAAAAAGTGGTTGACCTAGATTTTGCAGTATAAATTTACAACTAATCCAAACACATTTTCAAATAACAGTATACTGTTCCATGGGTAGTCTGAGTATTTTATAAAAGAAAAATAATCTTTATTTTTCCCTCCTGTCCCTTGTATCATTGCTGTCACTCAACACAAAAACATATAAGCATGTACTATACATAAGATATATACATATCATATATATCTTATAATACATATATACATAAGCACACATAATTGAATACATTATTGCTATTATTTTAAACAATATGTTATCTGTTATATCAATTAAGAGGAAGAAAAATAGAAGTTTTTATTATACCTTCACTTATTCCATCTCTAATGCTCTTCCTTTCTTTATATGGATCTGAGCTTCTGACTTATGTTATTTTTTTCTCCCTAAGAACTTCTTTTAACATTTCTTGCAAGGCAGACAAATTCCCTCAATTTTTATTTGTCTAAGAAAGTCTTTATTTCTCTTATTACCCTGGTCTCCTTAGGGAAGCCCACTGGAGAGTGACTTTTAACTGTTAAAATGTACTTTAAAAACACTACCCTGGTCTTTCAAAATCTTCTTGTGAGGAGTGGTAATAAGATCTTCCAGTGTTTCATTGTTATGGCATAACCTATGGAAAAGTACATGGTCTTTCTTCAGTTAATTTTAGTCCCTCCTCCTCAACAAATATTTAGACATAAGATCAAAAATAAAAGTGGCCCTTCCAAACATACCACAGGGCTCCTAAATCTTACCACATTCTATCTAGCAGGGAAGTTGTATTTCTAACAACTGATCTGCACTTGCCCACCCATCCCTCTGTGACCTTGGCATCAGAATCTGACTACATGCAGAGGTTTGTCTGAAATTATGGAACAAATCAGAAATAAGAGGTCCATTAATTCATTAAATTTCAGTCATCCAAGTCACACTTTGGACTAACTAACCCAACATTGGGAGTGGTCTGACAAAACTTCCTCTTTTCTTTGCACTCTTAAGATGATTTACCAGATTAAAATGCCCAGAGAACTTGGTCTCCCTTTCCTGAAGACAGCTAAAAGGGGAGCACATTTCTACTCACAGCTGTAGTTGGTCAAGGTGACTACACTCCCTTCCCGCTTCTAGTGGTCTAAGTGCCTGACTTGAACTTCTTGGGAAAACAAAGTGATTTAAGGCCTGAAAGGAGATGAGCAATTTTTAAGACAAAAAGTCCCGTAAGACAGGAAGCCTGCTGGTTTCTGATGCATAAACTAGACAGCAGAGGCAGGGCTGCCTGATACAGTTTGCCTCTGTTATTTCTTCTGTGAGAAGCTGCTGGGCTCCTCTCACCAGGCTCCATTCCTTCTCCTTACTGGCTGATGGATCGCAAGGGGCTTCTCTCCTTGAACTTTCTGCTGTTTTTCTCCTTGGCTTTTGAACTGAGCTGCGTAACAGGTGAGTGTTCATGTGCTTGAGGTTTTAACTTCTATGATTACTTGCCATGGAGTCAGCTAGCCTCATGGACTGAGAGAAGACACAGGGGCTGGGGGCTATGGTTCATCTGCCTCTTCCTTAGGCACTCATTCTGAGTTTCACCTGCCTTTCAAAGAGGAAGGAACATTATGAGTTCCTGGGCCCCTGGGTTCTAAGGCACAGACCCACCAATTCTCATTTCAAGGAAACCAGGAGCTCTGAGACAAAGGCACAGGTCATATTCTAGATCAGCCTCTTAGAGTGACAGGCTCCAGTCAGTCCTGGTTGAGAGGTTGGTTTTGCATGGGTATCCTTCTGGCAAATACCCTGGCTAAGAGATTGAGATGGGGAGATGGAGCTCTGGGAGAAAATGACTCCCACACCCTTTCCTTGGAAGAGGATTAGGAACATGGTCTGAGAACAAGGAAGGCCTATAGTGGGAAGAGAAGGTAGAAGTGAAAATCCCAGACATTCTGTTAAGGACAGTGGCCACAGTGTGGTTGTACTGGTGGCTACTTTCCTGGAAGAGAAGGTTCCAACGCAGCAAGAGAGGAAAGGCCAGTATTCCTGGAGCCCAGGGCTTAAGGTAAGTGGGAAAGGCAAACAAGGAACCCTAAGGGTCAGGGAAGCTTTAGCTAGGGCCGGTGACACAACAGAGCATTTGGAGCTGGGCTCTGCTCCTGTCTTTCTTGTCTTCCTCCAAAGGCAGTCTGCTGGCCTCTCTTTAGTAGTATCAGGGCTGTGGAAAAAGGTATTTGAGAAAGAAAAAGCCAAGCAAGAAGTGAATTTCAGGTTCACTGGGTATTGGGGCAAGAATCCCTTTTAGGCTCAAACACCTTGTGACTTTGGTTAGAGTGTATGAACCAGCCTGGAGCAGAAGTGACATTTGAGGCAGGGGTTGGGGGTGGGTGAATCCTGAAACTCCAGGTGTTTTGTGCTTGGGGGCTTCAAGATTGAAAATCCATTATGGACTTTTCCAGAAAAATCCCAGAGATATGCTAAGGATATCAGAGGGACTGCACACAAAGCCTATGTTTTGCCAGACTCCCTGATGAAAAGGCCCTTCCTGACCACACCATTCCTCAGAATCAGGTAGACCCATGGCTCTTGCTGCCCAATGTCTAGGAGAAGAATAATTGAGCTCAAGGCTCAGAAAGTCAAACTGAACCATTTTAAGCCATTACAAGAAGAGCCAGGCCTTTTTTGTGGTACCCTATTCATGACTTCACCATTTTTGGAATACCTCTTAGTGATTATCAGGAGCAATGGGGTTGAACAGTGCTCTAGACATTTTCATCTCTGTGTTTGCTTGCCTCCTGGCCCATAGAGTCTCAGGTGCTGCTGACTGACAGCCATTCCACTGAAGGCTGTGTAGGTCATGGGTTAGTGAGTAAAAGCCCAGCCCCATAGGGCATAGGTCAACGACTCCTTTCCTTGCATTTTGTCTTCTCTGAAATATGCACAAAAATTTTACAGTGTTTTTTTTATTTTTAAACACACACCATACTGTGAAACCCCAATAAAACCCAGGCAGTAATACTTTGCAAGTGGAACAGGTCAGCCATGACAGATTTACCCAACCAAGAAGCCTTATCTTAGCTGGGGGTCAGACACAGAGACCTGTGAGATAGAAAGCACTAGCCAAGCAAATAAAGGGTGGCAACAGGCTTTCAGGCTGGGACATGCTAAGTGCAAATATTCTAATATGGAAATACCCAACAGTATCAAGAAATGGGAACAAGAAGACAGCTGGTGGGAGTACAGTTTAAAGCAGCCTTAGACAAGTTATCTTTTCTTTCTGGCCCTAGAGTTGCCATAAGAACTATGAGGCTTTGTAAGTCCTGGCTCCCCTCTACCTGAAAGAAGTAGTGTAGCAAGATACTACAAGTACATGTGAATGTTTGGGGTAGGAGTGGTGGAGTAATTCTATTATTAGGTAGAATCCCATCTTGTGAAAGGTTTGGCTAAATTCTACTGATTTCAGGAAAATATCCATGGCCCATGTGAACATTCTACTTTCTAAGTAGAATTACCCTCAAAGGAAGGTGAGTTGGTGCTAAAAGCTATAAATGTTCTCTCCAGACCCTTTCAATAAACAGGCATGACTGAATCACAGACCCACTGGAAAACACTCATCAGGCAGCAGCATGTTTCAGGAGCAGGGGACTCCACTTGAAGGGTTTTATGAACCTCTTTAAAGTTACCACTCATTTTTCTGCTTGTGCTTAAGTGGTGATGATTTCAATTCCCCCAGCCACTCACATACACAGAATTTTTACCTCATCATTTTTATGTGGTTGTGGGGTGTGAGGGTCTCTTCCTAACCAGGTTTTGATTCCACTTCCCATGACTGAGTGTGCATAAACCACTCAACCTGTTTTTCTCCTCTGTCCCCTCTTTATTTTTTCTCTTTCCCTTCCTACTTTCTTTCTCTTTTCTTTTATATTATTTTGTTACTCCCTCTCTCATCCTATATTCCTTCTTCTCCCCACTCTCCATCAGTTCTGAGTTCTGAAGGCAACCATGGCACAGGAGTGTTAGATTAAGTGGGGGTAGGGCATAAGGGAGATATGGGATGGGGGAGGGTTATGGTATGAAAGTAGAAATCTTTCCATTCTTTTCTCTCCATACTGAAATTGGTCTAAAAATATATGCAGTATGACAGTGGTTCTTAATCTTGTTTTGAACCTCAGACCCCTTTGGGAGATGACATTTATGGTTGTGTTCTCAGAAAAAAATGTCCATATGCTTACCTGTACAACTTTTGTACAAAATGTCAGGGGAGCTTGTGTACCACAGGACATTTCTTCTTGCATGTATGGCCCTAATTTTCTGTCATCTCTTTATATGTAGAAATTTAAGTTCAGGATGCAAGAGGTTACTCTCTTGGGTACTGTACCTACCACATTATCTTGACGGTGATGTATTCATTAATGTGGTTGAAAGAAATCCCAACATGCTTCCCCAATTATCTTTGTGAAAACACCAGCATTGACACCACAATTCCTCACCTAATCAATCAAGCAACAAGGAGAGCACTCTGTTTTCAGAGTGGCTATATTAATGATACTTTGTTTAAAAATGCCTAACTGCTTTTCTCACCTTCCCTTAATAGTTATGAGTCTCAATCACTCTAATCCTGACATTAGCCCAGGTAGACTGTTGTCTCTTTTTTCCCAAGCTTTGAATCTTTAGTCTGATATTAGCTAGGCTCGTTACAAGACAGCATTAAGATTTCAGAGTATTTTCATACCAAGAACATTTTTTCTAATTTTCTCATTTTTTCTAGTTTTTCTAATTTTCCAACAACCCATCTTAATCACAAGTTCACTGTGCCTGTTCTAGGTGGTTGCATTACTTAAGCAAACAATTTTATTTTTCTCTTCTGTTTCTTATCAACTAGAGCAATCTATGCACTCTCTGAGTCATAGACTTCTTATTTTATGAACATTAACTTATGGTTAAGTTCAGTTATAAGATCAGTCATATATTGGGCCAAGGTAAATAAGAGAGATTTTAGTCAGGTGATATGGTATTTGGCATTTGTAAATTGAACAGATATTTATTAAAAACTTATTATGTGCCAACCACTGTTGTAGGTTGTATGGACAAAACAGTGAACAAAATGAAATTCTCCCACTTGATGAGTCTGCATTCTAGTGAGGAAGACAAAAATAAACAAATATACAATATAACAGGCAGCAAAAAGCGCAACAAGAAAGGAGATGCCATTTTAGGCAGGAAGATCAGAGCAGGTCTCCCGGAGATCATTTTTTTTTTACCAAAACTTAAAGTGAGGGAAAGAGCTATCCAGATATGTAAAACAAGAAAGAAGGAGAGGAAGAGGGAGAGGGAGAGGGAGAGAGAGAGTGGAGAGAGAGAGAGAGCGAGCGAGAAATGCTAAAGCTCCAAACTAGAAATGTCCTTGATGAATAAAGAAACAGCCAGAGTCATTATGTCCATAGTGTAGAAAGCAGAGAGCAGAAAGCAGAGATATATGAAAGGAGATGGAGTGGGAGCAGTATCAGGAACTGGGTTGTTCAGAGTCTTTGAAGCCAGAACAAGGACTATGGATTTTTATTCTATGGGTGCTAGAAATCCCTGGAAGTTTAAAAGCATTAGAAACTAAATCTGACATAGTTTTAAAAGGTTACCCTGCCCATTGTATGGATGCAGGAGATTAGTTGGAAGACAATGACAGTGCCCAGGCCCATGATGACTGTGGTAGAAACAAATGAGGTCTGAAGTGCTGGGACGCTAGACATATTTTGAAGGCAGAGTCAACAGGAATTACTGACAAACTGAATGTGGAGTATGAGAAAGAAAAGAGCCAAGGATGGTTCCTTTGTTTTCGCCTGAGAATTTGGGGGAATTGTGATGTTGTTTGCAGAAGGGGCTCCAGAATCAAAAGTTCATTTGCTAAGTTAGAGATGTCCTTTAGACCTCCAAATACTGAGGAGTACAATGAAAAGCTTGGGTGAAAGATATAATATCTCTGCAAGCATTTCAGAAATATGTTGAACTATGCAACTTGATCAGTGTGGCTGATAAAGAGAAGAGGTCTGAGTATGAGTCCTATGAGGCTCTAATACTTAGAGTTCTTTAACAGCAGAAGGTTCCAGTCAAGGAGATTCAGGGGGAGCAGAGAATAAAATAGAAAGAAAATCAGGAGAGTGTGGTGTTCCAGGGGGCCAAATGAAGATGGTGTTTCAAAGAGGGATTGATGTACTACATCGAGTACTCCTGAGAAAGCAAGATGAAGATGGAGAATCAACTTGTTATCGCGGAATATACAGTGACCTTTACAATAATGATTCCAGTAAGCAGTAGGAAAGAATGCCTGTTCACAGTGAGTATAAGGAAAAATGGGCCAGGAAATGGAGACAGAAAATATAAGCACACATAAAGGGACTTTGTGATCATGAAAAACAAAGAAATGAGGAGGTGGCTGGGGGTAGACCTGGGATCAGGAGAGGGTTTTTTAAGATGAATAAAATTATATACCAGCATGTTGTGAGTTGATGTAAATAACCCACCAGGTATCATACCATAATAAAGCTAATTTTGCAAGGGGTGGGGCAACTGTAGGAGCAAAGCCTTGAAGTAGGTGAGTGGTCCATGAAGGAGGAAGCTAGTCTTAAATGGGAGCATAGACAATCCATCAAAGTAGGTAGGTTGATTTGGTGGTGATAATTAATGGAAGTTCTTTTTTTGTTTTTCTACTTCTTCAGCGAAATGAGAAGCAGGGTTATGGTTTGATGGGAGAGGAAGTGTTAAATAATCAGCAATGGTTTGAAAGGTTTTTTTTTTCTTTTAGTTGTTCACTCAGCTTTTTTGAAAAAGAAGAATGAAATAATTTCTCATCCTTAATATGATTCACTAATTTTTACAGGTTTTTGGAGGGCTAGGATACCACAGTTTGAACACTTGGCTCAAAACCTCCCTGACTCCACTTTCCTCTACCTTTTCTCTTTCCTCATTGTCTGCAATGATGCTCCTGTAACCTTAGTCTCCTGAACTCATGAGCTCAGGATCACTTTCAGTTGCTCCCCATCCTTCATAGTATATAGTGGTGAGAAGTCTGGTTGAGGAATTAACAGACTTGGATTCTAGTTCAGTTACTAGTTATGTGACTTTAGGGAAGTCATTTAACATCTCTGTGTCTTAGGTACCTTAACTATAAATCTTAGTTGACAGAATTCCCTCCCAGATCAAAGAAACCCAGTGTCCTCACCTATACAGCTCTATAATAAGTAACTTCAAAATTTCCATTCGAATGTTGCAAACACAATAGACCCTCATAACAGTCCTTATAGATCACTAAGGCCTGGAAAGCCCAGGGATGGTCCAAGAGGAAGAAGGAGAGACTCTAGTCTATCATTCCTGACCCACATTCAGGCTATGAATCTGGAAGGCCCCCGTAATAAGGGACTGTTTTCTCCTTTTTCCAACAGTTGAGGACTTGACGAAATGTCCAACAATCCGTGAGCAGTTGGGAAGCAGCGTGCTGCTGCCCCTGACACCTAAAGGGATGAGTGAGAGTATGAAGAAGAGGATCCACATCATCGTCACAAAGGCAGAATCACCGGGAAACAGTGTCAAAAAGAAAATTGTGTCTCTTGACTTGCCGAAAGGGGGCTCTCAACCCTATCTGGAAGATGGCTATAAGTTTCATTTGGAAAACTTGAACCTGGGGATCGTGGAAAGCAAGAAGGAGAATGAGGGCTGGTATTTTCTAACCCTGGAGGGAAACGTTTCAGTCCAGCACTTTTGCCTGCAGCTGGAGCTCTATGGTAACAATGATGGCTTCTCCACACTGGTGGGCCAAGATGGTCCCTGGCCTAAGAACTTAGGCTTCTAAGAAGCAAAGGGTATTCAGAATTGGGAACAATTTGGTGACCTAGTCTGGGGGCATTTAAACCGTGCTTTAGGAGGAAGTGTTAGAGGATCACATATCTTTTTTGTCCCAACTGCACATTGGTGATAGCTGATTAGCATAATCACCTTTACCCCAATTTCCCAAAGGAAAGGAGTCCAGCTGACTGTGGGCTAGAGGGCCCAGAGCCCCAAGAGTCTCGATTTGCAAATAAGATTTTGTTTGAAAAAAAGGTGGGTTTCTTTTCCCTGATTTTAAAAAGTTTTAATGCCACTAATCAAGCGCCACCTCTCTTTCATAGATGATGACACTGAAATCCAGAAAAATGGCTTGCATATGATTTCATACATCTATATGGATGGTTCACTGCACTAGGGATCCTGGGAGAAGGAGAGCTGAAACTCAGCCCACATATCACTCTCCAAGCCCTGTGCCTTGGCATAGCATTGTATTTTCTTGATGGGAGAGGCACCCTTTTCTTATTGAAACAAAGGCTGGTTATAAAGTCACTTAGTTGCAGACTTAAACTAAAATTTCGGTTCATCTGAATCATGTGCTTTTTTGAGCCTTTTTAATGCCAGCCCCTCTGGAATGCAACCACTTTCTGTCTCTTAGGCCTGAAGGTTCCCTTGAATTCTCAGGGATTCTGGTCACCATGTGGGCTGTCCTGCTTCTTCACTGTGGCTTCCTTATCTCTGAGGTTGGGACAGGGAGCCCCACTTACTTTCCAACATATCTTTGAAATCCTAAGCTACCAACAGGAGAGATAGCAATGCCCATGCCACCTTTCCCCTGCCCCCAGCATCTCTTTTCCTCCATATAGCATATATAGAATTTCTACAGTCTTCCAGCAGGTACCAGGGAGTCCCGATCACTCCTACAGTGGTCCTGGCACAGGCTTACCATGAGTTTGCATTTTCCAGAACAATTCACTGCCTTTGTGACCTCTTGTCACATTTTGGGATCAAATTATTTTCTTGGAAAATATGGTCTCTGCAACCATGGTATTCTCAAGTCAAAGGAAGAGGCTGGATTTTTGAGTCAGACAGATCTCAGCTTGATTGTTCATAAGTTGAGTGACATTACATAAGGTACTCAGATGAGGGACTCAGTTTCCTCATCTATAAAATGTGAATAATTATAAATAGGGTTGCAATCATTGAGAAAGTTTTTGATAAGATTAAAGAATATTTTTAAAAGATTAAAGAATATATAGTAGTTACTAAATAAATAAAACATTTTCCTCTTCCATGACATTAGAGTGAGATAGGTCAATGCTGCCTGTGGCTATCCCTACTTCAGGCATTCTAAAGCACTGGACACACACACATATGATAAAATTCAACCACTAAAAAGTCATTCTTTTAGGTCACAGAGGTGATACTTTAGCCAATGACAACCAAACCTATGGGGGATGTGTTGACAGCAAACTCCACAGATAGAATACAGAAGAACAACCTATATCAAGGACATCGGAGAAGGCAAGGGGATCCCTAACAGTGTTAGTAGGAGGGGACAAAAAAACAATATTTTCTTCTCCATTTAACCCCAAGGTGGACCTGGAAGCGGGTATTTGGAAAGAAAAGGATGGCACAGAGCAATAGATCCATACTAGAAATCAATCACACTTGCTGACCCACTGTGAGAAAATATGCCACCAGGCTGCATTTTCTTCTAACTAAAAGGTCAGGTCAGAATTCCAGGAGTTTCATTTCAGTGATGGCTCCCTTTCTCACCCTCCTGACAGAGCGGGTCTCCACTCCGGAAATTAAGGTGTTGAACCTGACCCAGGAGAATGGAAACTGCAGCTTGATGCTGGCCTGCGAGGCAGAGAAGGGAGACCATGTGGCATACAGCTGGAGTGAGGAGGCAGGCACCCACCCGCTGATTATAGCCAATGGCTCCCACCTCCTGTATCTCACCCTTGGCCCTCAGCATGCTGACAGTACCTACATCTGCACTGCAAGCAACCCCATCAGCAATCGTTCCCAAATCATCATCCCATGGCCCAGATGCAGGATATATCCCCCAGGTGAGTGGTGGCTAGTGTGCCACATTAATGATCTGAGCTCAGTTCCTACCTGGACCAATCTCTCTGCTTTCATAACCATGGTCTATACCTAGATAACAACACTTTACCCTCAGTTCACAGTTGAGGAAACAAGAAATGAGGTAGACCCAGTGCCCAGGTGTCCAAGCAGTGATCCTTCTTCTCTTCTCCTGCCTTGTGCCAGTCAGCAGGGGTGGCTGGTTGAGGGACTATGGGTGGCAGGTACTGACTCCCCCATCCCTGTTCCACTAATGGTGGGGTAGTTCTATACCATCAGTAAGTATATATTGATCATCTAAGTTGTAGTAATTTGGGAATAGATTTGACATGATCTACCAACAACATGTTGTAAACATAAAACATAAACATTTGCTCAATAATGAAAAGCAGGATATGATGAAGGGCCACTTTCATGGAATTGACAGTAGATCCCATAGCAAGTGAGACAACCCAGGGAGTTTGTTCTTTTAAGACCTGCATAAAGAAGTATGGGAATAAAGATAAATGGTGTAGCAGTTTATTATTGGCAAAGCATTCAGTTTTACAATCTCCTTTGATCCTCACAATAACCCTACCAGTATAATCCTCATTTTACAGAGGAGGCACTTGAAGCTCACAGAACTTAACTAACTACCTTTCTCAAGTTTTTTCAACTTATAAATGGTAGAACTGGCACCTAAACCTAGATCTTCTAATTGCTCTTTCTCTAGAAAGAAAAGCACCATTATTCTGTTACCAAAAAAACCACAACAACAAAAAATGGAGGGCTGATTCAGTAAACCTGTATAACCACTTAAAGTTGGAAAAAAGACAACCACTGACTCTTTTTACCAACATATTTTGTGTTTCTCTCTCAGGGACAGGGGACCAGGGTACTGGTCTTACATGGCATTACTTATGCCCTAAAATTCCCTCTCTGCATCCACTGGGAGTCTCCAGGGAGACTCCTGCCAACAGTAGGCTTGGTGTTTATGTGGAGGGATTTCCAGATGACTGGGGATGAGGGTGCAGGAAAGCGAGCCAGTTTATGCCCTTCAGCAAAGCATCTCCAGTCAGAGACTCCCCTTGGGTATTCCTAGATGAACTGGGCAGAAAATCCCACCTGGCCTCCAGTCTGCATCCAAGTTCCTTAACAGACTGAACCTGCCATTTGTATTGCCTCTCCAGCAATTCATGGCAAAGTCAATCATCTGTCTACCTACTAAATGTGTCTGGCCACTACCTACTAAATGTGTCTGGCCTACTAAATGTGTCTGGCCACTTGCACACAAACTATGTTGAGGAGACTATCCCCCAGTTCATACTTCTCTCCCTTCCATGGTCATTCATAATGTGCTGATGGGACAAAGAAAACAGTGTAGCATAGTTTAGAGTTTATGGAACCTGGCCCCAGAGGTTCTAGATCCAATCCTGCCCTTTTTACTTACAAAGACAAGTCACTTAATATAAGATTTAGATTTTGTGTCTAAAATAAAATAATATCTGACAAGTCTTCATTGTTTACTATATGCCAGTTATGTAGCATCTCAATTCTCACAGCAACAAAATATAATAGTATTAGTATCCTCACTTTACAGATGAGGAAATGAAAATATAAAAAGATCACACAGAGCAAGTGACAGAGCTGTGTTGTGTAACCCTAGAATCCTCATAGGTACTAGTTTAAGATCAAGATGTTGGCAAAGTTGGTTCCTTAGGGATCTTAGGGAAGGATCTGTTGCAGAGCTCTCCTTGGCTTATAGATGGCTGTCTTTTTTATCTCTTCACATGGTCTTCCCTCCATACATATCTCTGTCCTAATTTCCCCTTCTTATAGACATTAGTCACATTGAATTAAGACCCACTAATTAATTAGTTTTCTAGGATTGCGGTAACAAAATATCATAGACTGTGGGGCTTAAATAAAAGAAATTTATTTTCTTACAATTTTGGAGGCTAGTAGTCCAAGATCAAGGTGTCATCAAGGTTTTCTTTTTCCTGAGGCCCCTCTCTTTGGCTTCTAGGTGACCATTTTCTCCCTGCATCTTCGCATGGTCTTTCCTCTGTGTATGTACATCCCTGGTCTCTCTTTGTGTGTCCAGATTTCCTCTTCTTTTAAGAACACTAGTAAAATTGGATTCAGGCCCACCCTAATGGCTTCATTTGAACTTAATAACCTGTTTTAAGACCCTATCTCAAAAGACACTCATATTCTGAGGTACTGGGGGCTAGGACTTCAACATGTGAATTTTGATGGACAAAATTTAGCTCATAATACCACCCTAATGACTTAATTTTAACCTCATTAATTATGTAAAGACTTTGCCTCCAAATAAGGTCATATTCTAAGGACTTTAACCCTATGAATTTTGGGGGGAACACAATCCAATCCATAACACAAGGAGAGATTCCCTCCCCTGCCTTTAGGGATAAGGAACGATAGCATGTCACACACCAGCTCCCACAGCTGGTGTGTGGCATGCTGTTCCCAATACACCATGTTGATGAAATACTAAAAAAAGTTTTATTAATTCATTGACTTGTGTTTACAAATGAATACTACTAATTCTTAAGATACCGTGCTTAGTTCAACAAAAATTTATTGAGGTTCTACTAATGTTCCAATGTTATATTAGGTTCTGAGTACACAGAGAAATAATAAAAGGCATTTCTTTGCCCTTAAGGAAGGAGATAGTTCTGTAAGTAACTAATTATCCTAGATTTCATAGTGTGATAGGTGTAAAACAGGTATGTGCAGGGTTACAAAGAGGAAGGAATGATTAGTGCTGTCTCAAGGAATCAGAACGAGCATCAGAGTGGATATGACAAACTAGGCCTTGAAAAATAAATAGAAATCACCAAAGCAGATAAAAGAAAGACATTTCAGGGAGAGAGAAAAGCAGATACAGTTGAGCCTTGCTCTGAATTATCTTGCAAGTGATGGGAACTAATAAGGAGTTTTAAATAGAGAGGACTAACATGATCAGCTTTGCATTTCAGAAAGAAAATTTGGTGGTGTGAAGCACAGAGTAGGTCAAGGAGGAAGAAAGAGGATTTAGTTATGGAAAGGGGCTGTTATTGCAGTAATCCATCAAAAGGTGATGAGCAAATGCAATGCCAGTTTACCGAAGACTTCAGACTTGGAATGAAATTGTGTGGTCTGAGGGTTCATTAGAGGTCACTTCACCATCTATGATGAGTACAGTAATTTTAAGATTTTTTTACTTTTATTAATGAAAAATTCAAAGTGGTTAATAATGTGATGAGACCAGATATGATATGTCAGCACTATGTCTTGTCAGGATTCAAACTAAACTGCATAGAACATATTTGTGCCTCATAATCATTTTTTCTAATGACATTTGTCTAGGCTCTCAGTAGTATATTCATCCTTATTCCAACTGCCACCTCACTGTTCTACAGTAAGAAACTAACTTATGTCTATCATTATGAACCATCTTTATTGCAAAACCCAAATCCTGGGGTGCTACAAAGTACTCTCACTAAGTCACACAAAGCATGCTGATGTGGATTAACATTGGACAGTGTGATTTGCTGCAGTCCTTCATGACTGTGTTCTGAAATGGTTATGTCTATGACAACATGAATAACAAAACCTTAACTAATTCACCTGAAAGAAAACCTTGGAAGCTCATCTTGAAAAGAAGACATGTTTTCTGTAGATTGGCAGAAATTTGGCTCAGCAAGTCGAGGTTAGTTCAGTGGAAGAAAAAGTTGACACCTGCCAGTGAGCTCCCAGGGCCCTCCCTTTCTATCAAGGCCATTTGTTCAACAGAAAACTCCCACTGTTACAGAGTCACTTAGATGTTTCCTGCAGAGGGGCAGGTCCTTCATGTTATTCCCAATCCAGCAACCGTGATGACGATGGTGGAAAGGCACCTTGTCACATTGTCCACACCTGCTGCTAGAAGGAAAGCTGGGCAGCCATGTGCCTAGACAAGACTTGTCCATGGAAGGATGGAGGAAATGGCAGTGGGAGCACAGCTAGTAGTCTCTGCAACACAGTGCTGGGCAGGTGTAAGGGGTTTTCCTGAAAGCTGTGAACTGTAAACATTTTTATTAAGATGGTCTTAGATAGTAAATTAGTATATGGTTTGTAATCATCCTTCCCTCAGCCCCAATTCTGAGTGGAAATTGCCACCAACAAGAAGGCATCTGTTGAAGATGGTTGACTTCTTTGAGTAAGTGTACATCATGCAGACAGCCTTGCTGACAGAACCACATGAAAGGCAGGAAAGAGATCTGGCATTCTCAGACCGTTACATTAGCATCTCAGTATCTCCTGGGGTGAACTACAAGCTGCATTTGTTCCTCAGATTCATTTTTGTTTTCTTCTTTATCTCCCTTAAAGATTAAGGTTTGGAGACTTGAGGAGAGAGGCAAGTTTTTGTGTTTCTGTGGCAGCAGACCTTCAGAGATTGAAAAAAGGCCTTCCGGCATTTTCTTGGAGGCATCACTAAAGGCCAAGTTATCATGTTTAAACCACAGCCAACAGACTAGAGGATCAAAAGGTGGAGACTCGTGCAAAGTACTCTTTATAAATACTTTGTGGAGTTCTCAATCAGTCTGCTTAGCTCTCTCTAAGAGGCTGGCAGGGGAGGATGTTTGCAGGGAATGTACCAAATTTGCTGTTTAAGAATTTCAAATAAGGTTTCTTTGTGAATGATTGAAGTCTGTGAACCCTAGAGCAGCAGAACAACCGTGGTCTGATTTCTGAGTATCAACCTTCTGAGAGGCCCCACTCCATTTATGAGCAAAAAGAGGGAGAGCTGGAGTTTATACCACAGGAAATGGTGGTTTGAAAATGGGAACACAGGTGGTACTGACAGCACAGACAAACTTTCCTCCAGGTTCCATGTGTTATTATAAAGCATATCCCAAGTAGATGGTTGCTTATTCCCTTCTACTGCTGCCCTGGGCCATTTAGAAGGTGACACTACATTCTTCCTGAGACCTTCTTATATGTAGCACTCTGATAATTATTAATAAAAAGGTGCAAGACAGTCTCTTCCTGGCTTCTTTCCGTGGCCTCTAATTTAATTTAGTTCATCACATGTATATTTACTGCCCCCCTGCCCTACATTATATCAGGTGGAATTGGGGATGTAAAGCATAAGGTACAGGTTTTATTTTCTAGTAATTTACTATGGAGGTCGGGATTCTATACCTTACAAGGTAGAAAAGTATTATCATTATATTAAAGAAACTGCTACTAGAATTCCTCTTTGGAAGAGAACAGTGTTTGTTTAAGATAGTACCTTAATAAATGCTAGAGGGCATAAGATCAGAACCCTCCTCACCTCCAAAAAATATGAAGGTAGGTTAGATGGTTCTGTATGAGAAAGGGGGAAGACATTGCTGATGAAGACATAGGAAGAGAAAGAAATGGTCTGAGCCTAAGCTGCCTGGTTCACAATGGAATCTGATCCCTGTGGCTTTTCAGATCTACAGTAGAAGATTCAAACCCATAAAATTCTTAGTGTAGATTTTTGGTTTTGGTTTTGGAGTGTGTGTGTGTGTGTGTGTGCGCGCGCGCACGTATGGGCATGTGAAAACTGATGAAGTCACTAAACCTTGCATCCAGGATAGCTTAGACTAGAGCATGTGGAGCTGCAGAAATAAAGACTAAGAGGACCACAAGGAAGTTATTGCCAGAACCAACAGAAATTTTGAGCAGACTCATCACAACAAGCCATAAAAATATCATTTTGACTATCTTCACTCAAATTCCTGAGGGCATAGAGTCCCTGACATTTAGTTTCCATATAAATATCATAATTAGATAGTATCAAATAGATGAGCACCAAGTGCAAATATAATTAGGCCTGCTAGACAGATCAGGAAACCAAGTGATAAGTGAAAAAAAGAAAGACAGGATTGGGCTTAAGCATCTCTGGACATCAGTAAAGGGACTCCTCTAAACTTGAAATCAAACTTACCTCCTTGTTCTTCCAATAAACCAGCAAGAATTTTCTGAGGACCTATATGTGCCAAGTACTAAGAGAGTTGCAAAAGAAGTGAAGAAATGGTCTCTAGCTTCCAAGAATCTAGCAGCTAGCTGGGGAATTGAGGCTAGTGGAAGGAGTTAACATGGTCCTTCACCACATGCTGAATCCCAGTCATTGCTCTGGGTGCTTTCCATACATTATTTCATTGGTTTATCAGAACAAGTCTGTGAACTGAATATTGTGCATTTATGTTACACATTATGTTATGTGCATTTTGCAGATGAGGAGACTGGGGTCCCAGAGGACTGGGCAGCCTATCTAAGGCCACAGAGCTATAAAGTGGTAGACCTAGAATTTGAATCCATCTGTCTAGCTCCAAATGCCTTCACTGAGAATGGTCTCCACAGCAAAGATAATGTCACAACTCAAGTTCTAAGATGCATAACATAAACCAAGGTGTTGCAGAGTCCAAGGTAAAGGGGAAAAGGGAGCTAGAATGGTTGGGTAAAATGACACAGAGAAAGTAAGATTGATCTGAAAGTCAAGGCTGAGCAGGTTCAGTAGATAGCTGAATATACAGCAGGGGAAGAGGAAGGAGCAGAGCACAGAGGGGCAGGGATGGGCAGGTGTTGGTTGGAGGATGGCGAAGGGAAGAGCTGCCACCTCAGAGAGCTTTTGATTCACGAGGTCTCCCAGGCTTCCCAGCCTGCTGTTGCTAAAACACAAACCACAAAGTGTGCAGTTCTCATCTAACCCAGCTCTGCCATCAACTTCAGTGACTCTAGGTATACTTGTCTGAGTTTCAGTTTTCTCAACACAAAATTAGCAGGTTGGATGAGATGAGCACTATAGTTCCTTTAGTGTTAAGAAAGTCTATGGCCCTATAACTTAAATCCTCCAACAGATTCATATTACTTTGTATCTAAAGACTAGGAGAAAAATTAAAGGTTATGAAATCTCTTTCAGGAATATGAACTGATTGCCTCTCATATCTGGCTGAACTGGCAGAAGCTGGTTGTTTATATCACAGGATAAGGATAGCAGATAATTTTCATAATCCTGAGATCCTGGAAAAGAATGATAGGAGCAAACTAGTGGTTGCCAGAGGAGAGGGATTTGGGGGAATGGGTAAAAGAGGTGAAAGCATTAAGAAGTACAAATTGGCAGTTTAACAATAGTCAGAGGATATAAAGTATGCGATAGGAAATATAGTCAATAATATTCTAATAACTATGTGCGGTGTGGTTGGGTACTAGAAACACTGGGGATAACACTTTGAAAAGTGTATGATTGTCTAACCACTATGCTGTACACCTGAAACTAATGGAAAATAATATTGAAAGTAAACTGTAATTGAAATTTTTTTTAAACTTAAAAAGAAAAAAAAGAAATAAAAAAGAAAAAGAAAGGCAGGGCTGGAGTTATTGTGTCTTCTGGGCCTCAGTAACATGTTTTAAACATTGTTCATTTACATGAGTAGAGGGTTGGCAGAGCTGTCAGCAACCGGCCCCAAGGGACAGGAGAAAGGCTCAGTTGACAGGTGTTACTGATGCAGTTTTACCATCTGCTATTTTCTAGTTTGAGAGGTACCACCTCGTTTGTTTTATTTTATTTTTATCTCAAATAAAATGTGAGGTAAATATTACCTTTTAAAGTGATTTAAATGGTTGGTGTGTTTGTTCTTAAATTAACTGTTGTTTTAGAAGGTCCCTGAATACATGTGGGAAAAAGAAACAGGAAATAGTCTCAAAATAGGAAGGACTACTATAATAATGTGCTGGTCAGTTCCATGGACTGAGGAGACATGGTGGTGCCCAAGCTGCTGCCTCTGCTTCTTATTGTATAATTTAGGAAATTTCTCCACAGGTCCATGGTGCTGGCAACATAAGCCCTAAATAATCAATCTTTCACTCATTATGTTGGACACATACACACCTACACAAAGGGTTCTCAGCATCCATAAGCCATTCAGAGTGGTCATTCAGAGTGAAGCTGCTCACAGAGCAACTCTAACTTCAGCATTGATTCCATGTTCATATTTAATTCGGGGAAGAGAATCTATAATCAATATGTTTACAAAGCCAGCTCAACAAGATTCCTTGGGATGACTTGATGTCTGAAAGGTCTAGGAAGAAAAAGAGAGACTATTTTTAAAATGAGGATGCAACTTCTGGTTAGCTTTCAGCTGAAAACCCACTTGGATCTCAGAAGAATGCTTTATCTCAATTCATTGAGACTTCAGTCTGTAGTCTGTAAGTTGTATCTGCAAGCACTCTGCTCTGTTGTAATCTACCTATTCCTTCCTTTCAACTTCTTCCCAACAAATTCATCACAGTTTCAACAAAAGGCTTGTTCCACAACCATCCTGAAAATTTACCCTTACACATTAATGTTAACACCTGGCAGTATACTATTTAGAACTTTAATGCTATTACTTTATGTAGAACCCCAGTGCCTCAAGTTGGTCCCTACTGTTCATTACTTTGATGTAACTTACCCAAGCCCATAAGTCTCTTCGACTCTCCAAGAAGTCTATCTTCAGTGTATTTCTACTCCTGGATCAAGCTCTAATTTTTAAAAACACCTGCTTTTTTATCCCCAAAATGGGAGTAGTGGGAGTACCTACCTCATGGGATTGTTGTGAGGATTAAATACATTAATACAGATGTTGCAATAAAAAAACAATGCCTAGCCCACTGTAAATGCTTCAGAATTGTCTGTTATCTTACCGAGCTAAATTTCTTGTATGCTGGAGCAATAGGTCTCAATCAAAAAGTACTCCTTGGTTCATAAGGGTTTGGTAACATGGGTAAAGGAGAGAAAGCAATAAAAATTGGTTCTCTGATTTTGAACCTGAGTGATTGGTACTCTAGAGCAAATATTAAACATGGGAATGACTGAGAAAAAAGTACTTGCTTTTCTTTCAGTTCAGGTCTAGTGGGTTCAACACAATTATTTGCATGGAAGGACAATAATAGCACTATTATGTTTATTTAAAAAAAACAAAAGTAGAACTTTCTTCCTTCCAGTGTATCATGAGAATGATGTGGGAGTATGGGGACAGCATGTGAAGCCATCATGTTCTCTTTATCAAAATGGATATAGAACATATTAGAGATTTTAAAATAAAGAAACTGGTCAGGGAGGATGACTGAGGAAAAATGAAGATAAGTTTGGTTTTAGACATGTAATGTGGGAGTTGAAGTAAAAATAAAGCATTTGAATAGAAAAATCTTGACAGAAATCAGGAATATGAAAGTCAAACATAGAAAAACGAGGATAAGAAAACAGATATGAAAATCTTCAGTAGTCTTAAGCTGATCTTTAAAACTCAGAAAGCAAATGTCTCCCTTGAGAAAGGAAGTAGAAAGAGAACATGAGGCTCATGTTCATCCTCCCCACCTCTGTGTAGGATGTTTTGACACTCACAGTACATTTGAGATTGCCCTTTGACTTTTTTTTTCAGTATCAAGACAATGGGGACTGTATGCTGGGCTGTTCTTAGGGGGCATCATTGGTGTCACCATGATTCTTCAAGTGGTAATACTACTGTTGACAAGAAGAGGTAGGTGTCTGCCAATAAAGAGATGCTTATCAGACTCTCTGTGGTAAGCAGGGGACCTCTCACCACAAGCACAAACTTGCTGTCTTCAATTTAGCTTTCTTCAGGGAACATCTTTGCAAAAACACTAAACAAACATATCTTGTGACCTTGTTCAATTCAGTCTATTCAAAATGTCTTGATCCCCTATACTAGTCTATGGGGAAAAAAGAGAGATGAGCTGTAGGTATCTAACATGAGAGACATTATACACAAATAATTTAAATTCAATATGACAAATACTGGTGGAAGGGTCCAAACAAGAGGCTTAACAGTATTCACTAGGAGCAGAATTCCAAGAACTCTCGGATCTCATTCATGAAAAGTTATAATTACTGACTAATGAAAGGACACTATAATAAGATGTTTTTGCCAAAGGATTGAAATCTTTCTATAATTTATTTTTATCCTTACTATATTGCTCTAAGAGAAGTAGGGTAGTTGTTTTTATGTGACTTAGCAGTGGGCTAACAGAGACACAGAAAGACTAAGTGACTTGTACAAGGTCACCCAGCTGGTTAGTGAGGGAATGAGAACTGTAACTATGTTTCCCAACCACCAGGGTGTATTCCACTTGGAAAGCCCACTGGTCATCAGAAGACAGCAGAGGGAACACTCTTCACTAGGATTTTAGCACAAATTCTTACTCACCCTGGTAAAGTGTTATTAGGTTGATTAAAGCCAAACTAAATAGTATAGAAAGCCACCCATGGTAGGCTTTCTATAGCCCAATTATTTTTTTTATTATTTAAGGCCCAATTATTTAAGGCCCAATTATTTTCCTGCAGTTTAAGTACCTAAAAGTAGTTTCTCCTGGCTTCTCCTCCAAGTTGTCCTATGATTCAGTATCTCAGAGCAGTGTGCTCCCCTCCACCACACTTTTCTCAACCACCCACACTAGAGTAAGAAGAGCCTGTACCAAGACCAGAACAGATCCCTGGGTGGCTTCTCTTAGTGAGGGGAGAACTTGATCTTCATGCCATCATACTGATGGCTGATCTCATTCTCAGGAAGATCCATATTGCCCACATGTAACCTTCTCGGAAAAGCCCTTACATCAGCACTCTGATGTTGGTTTTGCCTATATAAGAAAATCTAGATCACAGCATAGCCACCCACTTTTGTCTCATTTCCTTTATCTAAGAGTCAGCTGGAGAGGCGATGAGAAGTGGGGTGATTCAGATAGAAATCATGAGGACAGCCTAAGGGAATGGGGCAGGGCAACCACATATGGCTTGGATAATCAGGAAACAGTGAGGAATAAGGATAATAAGGAATCCACAATTGAGAAAGCAGATTAACACACCTACGTTAACCTATTTAGTGGAAGGTGCTGGGATCCTCACCCACATTCTTTCCTTAACTACATTCTACTCACCACGTGGTTGTGCTCTGAAGGGACAGTCCTCTCCATCCTATTACATTTTCCTGCCACCATTCCAACACATATATCCATCCCTATCTCCAGTCACCCTGTATTCCTTGTTAGCCAAAAACACACAAAAAAAATCCTGCCTCAAAACTGTGGGAAAACCTACTCTTTTTTAACATTTTTTAAAATATATAATCATTATTATATATGTTTTTCCCATTACCATTTAGTCCCCTTATGTCCCCTACCCCCAGCAATCACCACACTGTTGTCCATGTCTATGTCCATGAGTCCTTTTTCCTTTTTTTCTCAACCCCTCTACCCCTCACCACCCCTCCCTTACTAGTTTTCACCTGTTCTCCATTCATTAGTCTGTCTCTGAAAAACCTATTCTTAAATGCTGTACCCTCCAAAAGACTCTGCTCAAGAGATTCTGTTGGCAGTTTCTAATGTGCCACCTCCAGAATGCAGTCAGACTCTGAAGGTTTTCAAATGGATTCTGGCAATTTCATATCCAGAATACACTGATTAAGAACATAGACTTTGACATTAGACAAATGTACACTCAATGCAGACTTTGCCACTGACAAGCTGTGAGACCAAACAAATGACTTAACCTCTTGTCTGCAAAATAAGAATAATGTTATGTATTTCATGGTATTGTTGTGGGGATCCATGAGTTTAAACATAGAAGTCATAGGATACAATGCCTTCCATGGATAGATGGTAAATAGGTAGATGCATACATGCATACATGCATACATACATACATAGACAAACTTCTTAATGTTGGTGAGTTAAAACATCAATGTTTAAACTTTATGGCAAACAGAGGTCAGCACAGGGAGCATCTGGAAACAGTGCCTAGTTTTAAAGATTTAAAGTATTTGAAGTCATAGTAGTTTTATGCTTCAGGTGAGAGCTAAAAAAGACATTAGACAGTCTATATCTTCATTTTACAGTTATAGTAACAGAAGACACCCATTCAGATGACATGTTTTGTCCAATTCTACACAGCTAATAAGGGCTAGAATGTAGATACCCTAATTCTAAGGCCTTTTTCATTAAACTTGAAAGCCTTACTGACTTTGAGCTGAGTTGGACTTGCTCCTAAAAGCTTGTTCTTTCACTGGTAACCAAATATGAAACTAAATTATCTTGATCCAGTAGTATTTTTGAGAAGCAATATTCAACCTTACTTTCTCCATCTGATCATTTAGGACGGGCCCCACAATTCTAAATTTCAGCCTGAGCTATCATGTAAGACTCAAAGTCCTTAAAAACTAGGATCTGTCTTCTATTTGTTCTCCTATAGAACCTGGGACAGTGTTGAGTGTACACTTCTAACTTTGCAAACACTTGTGAATTTGAACTGAAAAAATGTGTTTCAGAGAACCAGCTTGAACCTTTTCTATTACCTCCTCTGATCACCTCACCCCATCACCCATTCTATATAGATGCTCATGCATACACACACACACACCCCTCAGCCAGTATCAGCTCTGAACAAAAAAGTAAAACTGGAACCATCAGGTACTCCATGCCCACACTCACACAAAAAAATCACACATTGACATTCTTTGAATTCTTTGAATTTCCCCAATAGCTGCCCATCATCTTCTCCCCAAGGATCACACACTCTTTCCTTTCAAAAGAAAAATATACCTCTCCTAAATGCTGTTCCCTCAGAAGCATGCTCCTACTTTTTTAAGAGGATAAATTCATTGGTATTAAAATAACTGCAACAACAATTAAAATACAAAATATTTTAAATAAATAAATAAATAAATAAATAAATAAATAAATAAATAAATGCACCCTAAAGATTTTTTGTAATTTCCTCTGTGTCAGGTCTCCATTGCCTCTACTTGGACTTTGTAACAGTCCCCAAATAGGCCCCCATGTTTTAGTGTGTTACTTTCCCCTCCATCCTTCTCATCATTACATGATGCATGCAATCAATAATATGAAACATTTGAAGGAATGAGATATGTAAAAAATGTCCTTAATGCATTGTAAGTGAAAAGGTCAAGTCACAGAGATGTGTATAGAATGACCTATTTGTATAAAAAGTTTCTGTATCAATACAACAAGTGTACAGGACTGCATTGGCTCATATGGTAGTCACTAGCCACATGTGACTTTTTAAATTTAATTTAATTAGAATCTAATCAAATTTAAAATTCAGTCCCTCAGTTGTATTATCCATAGTTCAAGTGCTCAATAGCCACCTGTGGCTACCATATTTGACTGCAGATGGAACATTTCTATCATTGCAGAAAGTTCTGTGAAAAATGAGTGGTCTGGAAGGATATACATTTAACTGTTAAAAGCTATTACTTCTGAGAATGAAATTGCATACAGTAATGGGATAGACAGACATACTTTTTCTCTATACAATTTTAATTTTGTAACAAGAATAAATTGTTTGTATAATTCAAAATATTTTTAATAGGTTAAAAATTAAAATATTTTAATTTTTACTTTCCAGAAACCCTGAGCTCTGAGAAAATTTTCCAGTTGATAAGTAATAGAATCACATCACAACTTTGTTTTCCAAGTAGTTTCAGGTGGATTATCCTTCTTGTAAATTTCTTTTTTATTTGTTGATTTTAGAGACAGAAAGGAAGGGAGAGAGAAAGAGAAAACATCAATTTGTTGTTCCACTTATTTATGAATTTGTTGGTTGCTTCTTGTGCATACCCTGACCAGAGATTGAACTCTCAACCTGGCAAATCAGGACAACACTTTAACCAAATGAGCTACCTGGCCAGAGCTAGATCATCCTTCTACACTCCTCCCAGCTGCACACACACCAAGTCCACCAAAACAGGGAGGTGAGACATGTGAGTGAGGCAACAGATTATGAGCTGAAAAATGCAAAAGAGGTATAAATAACTTGCCCTGCTCCTAAAGAACTTAGAATCCTATTAAAAGACCAGATACACACAACAAAAAATTAAGATTAAAGTAATTGATTACACCTAACATGTATTGCCAATTTACTATGTCTCAGGCACTATTCTAAACACTTTACAATTAATGTCTCATTTAATCATCACAAAAGCCTTGTGAGGCATGTTATTTCAACCCATTTCACAGATAGGAAAATAGACCCAGGGAGTTCAAGTAACTAACTTAGTGTCATATGACAGATGTGCAGGGAGGTTGGCACTCAGTGCTTTGTTCCTGTGGTACTCTTTGGGAAGGTCTGTATGCAAAGGGGTAGCAGTGGGGGCAAACCAGACAGGTCTGAGCAGAGTTCATGACGGGAAACAGGGAGATAACTACTATGGTTTCTTTTCCCCAGGTAAAGCAGACTATCACCAGCCAACAGTGGAAGCAAAAACCCTTACTATCTATGCTGAAGTCCAGAAATCTGGTGTAAGTTCTATACTTTCTTTTTGGAGGGTGTTCCCCATAGATTCCTGACAATTCACCATGCATTTCTGACATTCACAGTTCTACATAGATGCTGAAGCAGGGGAAATTAGGGGCACAGAAATCAAGAACAAGAATTCTCGAAAAGGATATTAAGCTTCAGTGTCAGATAGGACTATTTGTTAATGAAATAACAGATGGGTAATCTTCTGGTTGTTTGCTTCTACATAGGAAAAAAATGAGGACATTAGAAAAATGTGACCTATGACTCCTTCCAGCTTTGGCATTTGAGGAATCTGCACTTCCATGTTATGAAACTTTCCCCTTTCTCTAGGGAAAAAGGGTATATAGGCTTGAGGAAAAAGGGAAAGATTTAGAAATGCTATTGTGTGACATGTTGGTTTGATCCAAGTTTAGAAGTTTGTAAAGTGCCAAAGAGACAAGGAAGAGGACTTGAGGATTCTGGCCAGAGAGTAGTTGAAGAGATGGAAGATGATACATAGGCTGGAAATGAAAGAAAGCAAAACTGTAATGGTTGGACTGAAACATGAGAGAGGGATAAAGAAATCTAGAATCATGATGAAGTTGAGCAGATGTTACAAGAGGGAGGCTAAAGAAATTATGATTAGCTATGATGATATAGTTTTTAGACATGAAGACAATTGTAGGTCATAGGCCAAAATTTGGCCATTCAGGGTGCATGGGGAAGCAAATTCTGGAGTAAAAAATGTAAAGGTAAAGACAGCTTTGATTAGCTCCTTGGGAAATTGCATCAGATGACAATAAATGGATTTCTGATAACCAGAGATGAACTTTTGGACAAAGCTCTTATTTCTGCTGACCTCTAGTGGCCTGGAGGGCTTATTATACAGGCCCATGATTACAACTGAGAACAAAACTCCATTTAAATATATAGAGTCCCAAAAGTAACCTCCACCCTTGCATTTACACATTTCAGTAACCAGGTTGAACTTTATCATGGTGCCATCACTATCTAACCTATTCCATGCACTAAGCATCCCTCTTTTTACTGTAAAGTATGACATATATGCCAAAAGTTCACAATATATGTCAGTTCAATGACTTACCCACATTGATATCTAGTAAAGCAAACCCTCCTACCTTGTATTTCTTTAAGATTTTTGATGTTTATTGACCCTTTGTACTTTCATATCTACTTTAGAATCAGTTCCTCAGTTATCACAAAAAGGAAAAAATTCCTGTTAGGATCACATTATATCTCTGGATCTATTTGAGGAGAAACTACATCTTGCAGTATTGAGTCTCCTAATACCACAAAACTATTATCAGATAAAGGAACAGAATGTTTCCAGCAGCCCCAGACCTTTTTGTGCCCCTTCCAATCACTATCCTCTCACTCCTCCCCTAAGATATCACTATCTTGACTTCTAAAAATATAGTCTAGTTTTCTCTCTTTTTTCCCTGATTTTATAAAAATGAGATCCTACAGTATGTTTTCTCTTGTGTCTGATTTTTTTGCTCAATATTATCTTTATGATATCCATTCATGTCTTTGAGCTTAGATATACATTCATTTTCTTTGTTTTATACATGTCAATATGTGACTATAGTAGAATTTATTTATCCAGTTGACTTAATGGACATTTGGATTATTTTGAATTTGAGGTTATTATAAATTTGCACTATGAACATTCATACATATGTCTTTCCCTTGGTAGACACATGCACATATTTTTGTTGGACATATACCTAGAAGTAGAATTTCTGGATCATAAGGTATGCATATCCTCAAATTGCCTAGATAAGACCAAACTTTTTAAAAGTGGGTGTAGCAATGTACTTTTCTACCAGCTACATATCAGGGATTCAGTTGCTACACATTCTGATCAAAACTTAATAGTATTAAGTTTTTTATATTATTTCTTTTAAATTTCAGTCATTCTGTTGGATCTGGCTTTTTATGGTTTTATTTTGCATTTCCCTAATTATTAAGAGAGTTGAACTAGTTTCCACATGTTTATTGTCCATATTAATAATATCCTCTTTCTGAAAGTACTTATTAAATCTCTGGCCCATTTTCCTTTAAGTTTCAGGCTTTTTTATGGATTAGTATAAGCTCTTAAGTATTTTTACCTTTTTGGCAGTTATATGTTAGCAAATACCTTCACCCATTCTTTGGCTTGCCTTTGTAGTTTCTCAGAGATACTTTTTGATAAGGAAAATTTCTTTTTTTCTATTGTAGAAGAATTGACTAGTCTTTTCCTTTATAGACAGCACTTTTTATGTGCTTTTTGAGAACTCTTTCTCCACTTTCAGGTGATGAAGTTATTATATTCTGTCATCTTCATAAAAGCATATGGTTTATCTTTCTCATTTATATTTGTTCTGTAACTGAAAATAATTTTTGAAGTATGGTGTGAAATGGGTCAGATTTAATTTTTTATATGGATAGCTTTTTTACCATTTGTCAAAAAGATTGTCCTTGCCCGCTGCAGTGCCACCTTCATCATAAATCAAGGTCCATATATGTATGGATCTATTTTGAGGTTCTTTATTCTGCTTCACTGGTCTGTTTGTTTATATTTGCACAAGTAGTATAGTGTCTTTAGAAATCTGTGATTACAGATTTATTATAAGTTTGATATCTGGTAAAATGAGTTTTCTCACTTGTTATTGTTTTTCTTCAATAATTCTTGACCATTTTTGGTCTTTGTATTTTCATATATATTTTCAATTCAGTTTGTCAAATTTCACCTAAGAATCCTGCTGGAATTTTAATTAGAATTGTATTGATAGTTATAGTGCTAAGTCTTTTAATTCAAAAAATGATATAGATTTTCTTAATTTAGATCTTTAATTCTTCTAAGTGATATTTTATACTTTTTTTCATAAGAAGATGTACATCCTTCATAATTTATTACTTGGCACTTGAGCATTTGACATTTGGGGATACTATCAGTAAGGTTACCTTTAAATTTTTCTTTAGTGTGTTTATTATTGATATATAGAAATATAATAAATTTTTATATATTAACATTAAATTTGCAACATTGCTAAACTCATTTGTAAACTACAGGCATTTATCTATAGATGATTTTCAATTCTATCTGTACACAATCATGATCATCTCTAAAAAAATTACACTTTTATTTTTTCATTTTTAATTAATATAACTTCTCTTTCCTTTTTCTTTTTCTTTTTTTTTTGGCTCTTTTATTGGCTGAGATGTTTCACACAATGATCAATAGAAGTGGTACTTCTGGTATTCTTGTAGAATTCCAAACTCAAAAAAAACCTTTCAATATCTTACCATTAAGTATGATTTTTGCTGAAGGTTTTTTGTAGCTGCCTTTTTATCTGATTAAGAATATTCTCTCCAAACTATGTAAAAATGGTGAAGTAAATCAATTACTTATTTTTAAGACCAATTTGTGTACATTTGCATTTTTAAATATTAGTGATAATTAAAATTTATAAAAATGTTGCCCATGAGGAAACTATTATTCTTGTGTTTAAACTTAAAATGGGTATTTGAATAAGTTTAGGCTTATGTCTACAAGTATAGGAACATGAGAGACATGAAGAACTAATCACATTGACATTTCAGATTAAAATTCTAAGAGGTAAGCCCTGACTGGTGTGGCTCAGTGGGTTGGGCATCATCCAACAAACTGAAGCGTTGCCAGTTTGATTCCCAAGTCAGGGCACGTGCCTCCTTGAGTTGCGGGACAGGTCCCTGCCTGGGGCATGTAAGAGGCAACCCATCAGTTTTCCCCCCCTCTTTCTCCTTCCCTTCCTCTCTCTCTAAAAATGAATAAATAAAGTATTTTTTAAAATAAAAATATACAATTCTAAGAGTTAATTTGTAGACAATAGAGTACTCTAAAGAGAATGGAGCAGTGAAAATTTCTGAATGCAGTTTAAAACCTTTGAAGAGTATCATTTCCCCTAAAATAATTGTTAGCATATGCTTGGATAAAATAAAATTTATAAGCCTGAACTTTATTTCTTAATGACAGATTTGGATTTAATTTAACTACATTTAAAAATTAATAATTATTTATTTTATTAATAGTTTATAATTATTAATCATTATTAAGTTTGAATTATTAAAATTCAAAAGAAAAAAAGAATGTCCTCTGCCAATTCTGGTATGTCAAAAAATTTTATCAAGAATAAATTGGTGTTGAATTTTATCAACACTGCATCTATTGATATAATCTTATGATTTTTAAACATTTATCTTTTTTACTTATCTACTGAACTACACTGATATGCAAAGATTAAAACAACTTTGTATTTCTGGGACAGAAGCAATTTTGTCTAATCCTTTTTGCCAGATTTTATTTGCAAATATTTTAAGAATCTTTTCTGTTTATGTTTCTCAATGAAACTGGCCTGTAATGTTTCTTTCTTGTAATGCCCTTGCTAGGTTTTATATCAAGAACATGCTAACTTCACAAAACAAATTGGGATATGTTAGTTTCCTAGTGCTACTGTAACAAATTATTACAAACTTGGTGACTTAAAACAACAAAAATGCATTCTCTAACAGTTTTGAAGTCCCAAAGTCCAAAATGAAGGTGTCATTAGAGCCATGTTCCTGCTGAGACCATAGGGAAGAATCAACCTTTGCACCTCCAGCTTTTGGTGGCTGCGGGCACTCTCAGCACTTACTGGCTTGTAGCTCCATACTCCTAATTTCTGCTTCCATCTTCACACAACTTTCCTCTCTCTGTGACTTGGTGTCTTCTCCTTTTCTGTGTCTTATAAAGATACTCGTCTCTGGATATAAGACCCATCCTTATTCAGCATGACCTCATTTTGAAATTATTACCACAATTGTATCTACAAAGACTCTATTCCCAATAAGGTCACATTTTGAGATTCTAGGTGAATTTATTTTAGGGGGCCACAATTCAACTCACTACAGGATATACTTCCTTTTTGTTATTCTCTGGAAATATTTGGGTGGAATTTATGTTATTTTTTCCCCTTAATATTTGTCAGAATTCATGGGTAAAGTTCTCTGAGACAGGGGTTTCTTTAAGGGAAGATTTAAATTATATTTTTATTATTTCATTTGCCTATTAGATTAGTAATTATTTTTTCTATTCTTTTATTGGCTACCCTAGAAATAAAGAAATGCATCATTGACTTATCGAACTCTAATATTTACTTTCTTACTGGACAATACTTTAACTCCATCTTTTTTTAATTTTTAGTTTTTAAATTTTTTAAACTGTACCTTTAATTTCATCTCTTGACTTATGTGCCTTTTTGGTCATTATTTTAATTTCATATATATTTTAAATATACAAGACATAATTATTACTGTTTTCAATATGCATTTAGACTTTCCCACATCCTTACAATATTTTTGGTTATATTTACAATGCCTATATGATTTTCTACATAGACTATGATAAATGAACAGTTATTCACATTTATTAATATTTCATTCATTTTAATGGCTATTTAATACCCTCATAAATACTATAATAACACCAAAAATTATTTACCAAATATTTGCTGTCTGCTAGAGACTCTTATAGGTTTTATCAGGGGTAGCACCTTGCCCAATTCTAGAGGATAGCATTCATAAAGAATATGAGAATGTAATGTTCCTGGCATTGTGTCCTAACTGAAGACACCAAAATACAAAAAGTTACTAAGTTATTACAACTATGTTTAAAATAATTTCCTATGCATAAATAAGAATACTAAAGAGAAATATAACAACATACTAACCATATTGTGTTGAAGTAATAAAACTATGAGTGATTTCCTCTATACTTTTTTCTCCTTTCTAAACTTTTTAGTAAAATGTGGAAAGCATAAGTTATTTGCCTTCTCCCCCATAGTAAATACCCTCCAGACAAGAAGACAGGTGGGGGCTGCTTCTGTTGATAAAGGTCTCAAATAGTTTCACATTCTTCTCATTCATCTCATTATTGAAAATAATTCTCCCTTAAATTCAAAATTTCTTCAAACATAGTATCTATGAGTTGTATGGGATATTGAAAGTCATTTATTTAAATCTGGCAATTATGCTTGAATTACCTTCTACAACATCATTTTCCAAGTGTTGGCTAGCTCTTGTTTACTGAAATGTAGTCTCTGACCAAGAATAGCAGCATCACCTAGGACCTTATTAGAAATTCAGAATACCAGGCCCTACCCAGATCTTCTAAAATAGAAACAGCCTCCTAACAAAATCCCCAGGTAATTCATAGGCACATTAAAGTATGAAAAGCCCTAATCTACCCCAAGCACTTCCAGTAATGAAAGATCCACTGCCTCCTGAGGCAATCCATTCCATTTGAACACCTTTTATATCTAAAAAAAACCTTTAATATATTGAGCAAAAGATGTCCCTAAAACTCTAACCTTGATTTAAACTTGAAGGACTCTACAGAACAAATCTAATTTCTCTTCTTCATAGCAATTCATCAAAATACATGAAGAGAAAGATCACATTCCACCTGGAATTTTTTTTCTTCAGTAAACTTTTCTAGTTCCTTACCTCTTTCATCAAGTGACAAGATTCTAAGTTCTCTCCCATTAAAAACCATGTGCTTCAGTTTCAAGTCTTGCTCTATACCAGGAAAGCAAAGAGTAGCATCACCCTGCACCAGTGTACCCAAAGTGTGTTGCAAGGATAATTTCCCTGGCATAAATCATGTCATCTCCATCTTACAGGGATGTGGTCTCAATTTACTCCTGCACTGATTCATCCTGTTATTGTGGATTTTAATTCATTTACAGTAACATCAACTAACATTGAAGGGTTCTTTTTTTTTATGCGCCCTTTTTCTGTGGGGAATGCAAAGAAATACAGCTATTTCCCAAGAAACTGATAGTCTGGGGAAACAATTTAAATATGAGTGTGTTAAATTTGGCATACGGTTAGGTGTTACAGTGTTAGAGTTAGACTTTAAATATCAAGGAATTTAGGTAAAAGAGAGGTCATTATAAGTTGACACACCCAAAGAAGAATGGTATGATGGAAAGAGCATACACTTTAAAAGACCTCAGTGGGACTCCTGGCTTTAATACTTCTTTCATTGGAAAGTACTAAATTTTTCTGGGCTTTCATTGTTCATTTGTAAAATGTGAGTGACAACAGCATTTAACATAGAGAGTGTTTGTGATACAAATGAAAAGATATTTGAAGGACTTTGTAAACTTTAATACACATATTATTATTATTAAGTTCAATATTTGGACAGGAAAGAGAAGTAACAAAAATCCATGTTAGAGTGTGGGGATGGAATGATCTCTGCATCTAGCAGGTGATATGAGCCAGATCCAAATACTGTGAAGATGGACTTCTCTTTAGGTGTCCTAGTAAGAGCCACATCAATTTCTTTTCATCGTGAGGAAGACCTTTCAAACATCTGGGAAACACAAATGATGAATTAGGCTAACACATGAGGTTGTGAGCTCTAAGATGTCCCTTGAGGAGTCCAAGCAAAGTCCAGAGCATTGAGTTCCAGGGAATTTGGGGGAGAATTCCTGGGAAGGAACCTGGACCAAATTATTCTAAGAGTTTTCTAGCTGAAAGTTTTTTGATTCTGTGCTTCCCCACAGGAAGAGTTGGATGGGAAATAATTCTCTGCTCAGCTAATTTCCTTCTTTATTTGTTTCTCTTGTAGCCTGTTCAGAAGGAACCTGATCCCCTGCCAGCTCAGGACCCCTGCACCACCATTTACGTTGCTGCCACAGAGCCTGTCCTACAGCCTGTTCAGGTGAGGCATCTCTCTGTAGAGAGGAGAGGCAAAGGTGGGACCTTTGCAGAGCTGAAATAAAACAAGAGTCCTGAAATGGAAATGGCAGGCCATTGCAAGAAAGTAACATAGAGCTTCTGTGGCCTTTGTTGTAGGGCTTCTGGAAAAGCCTTCATGGCTGCTCACGGGGTCACAGTGTGCTCTGCTCACCAGTGTTTCTCTGAGAGTCATCCAAGGGCCACATCACAATCAGCTGGCATATTTGTTAAAAATAAAGATTCTTGGGGCCTTCTACCTAGGATTCTGTTCAATCAGAGTGTCTATGGCAAGTACCTAGGCACCTACACATTAAATAATGCTATCCTCCGGGTGATCCTGATGCATGTTTAAGTTTGGGGATCACATTTTGAGTGCAAGAATTTTCAAGTCCAGCTGCATAACAGAATCACCAGGAGCTTTGTAAAAATGCTTGTGTCTAGGTTACACCCAGACCTATTTAATCAAAATATTTAGGAGTTGAGCTCTGCATAGGTATGAAGCCTAGAAGAGAATGTGATGGGCAGCCCAGAATGAGTCTCACCTATTCTACCTCATTGCTAAATCAGCATTGTATTGATTTCACTTGACAGAAATCTTTCCCTTTACCAAATGAACATAGATAAATTCTGAGCTGAAATCTTGGCTCCAGTTTTGCTTTATTAAATAAAGCATTTTAGGAGAAGATTGAGGGTTGAAACACCACAGAAATGCCAACATTTACCCCTCTTTTTCAAAGCTCTGACTTCAAAATCTTTTAAAAATGATACAGATTTTTAATAAAGTTTTCTTGGGAAAGAAAAATAGTACATTTCATATTTTATGGGAAAACCTTCTAAATTTTCCCATTTCTGTCTCTTTCTTTCTCAGACTCTTGAATCCTCTCCCTGTAAGAAGTCTTTGCCCAAAATCTCCATCTCCTCTCCCTCTCTCTCCTGCCTGAACCACTTCTTCCTTCTCACTTTGGGTCTCACTAATTCTTTTTAAAGCTCAGTGATTTGGAATTCTCTTAGCTTCTCCAAACCATGTCCCTTGCCTAAGAGTAAAACCATTGGTTTTCCTTTTAAGTCAAGGGAAGGGAAGAAAGCAAGGAAGTTGAGGGGCACTGAGTTCAGTCCTCAGATCACTGGAACAGGTCTCCAAGTGTCCCTGATGGCAGGGGTATCCTTGGAAGGGAGCTGTAGCCCACCTCGCAGACAGGACAGATAGTTTGGGACCTGAGTACTGCCTCCAGCAGTGCTTGACTGTGACACATCTTGACCGAATAAGTCTCTATGCTACATGATTTCTGAGACCCTTTCCTTTTCCTAAGCAGCACTGTTTCTATTTGTTCCTGTGATGCTAGTGCCAGTCCCTCTACTCACAGACTTCTTTTGTTTTGCCCCCAGGAACCAAGCTCCATCACAGTTTATGCCAGTGTGACACTTCCAGAGAGCTGACATCACAGACCCAACGAAGGGACTATCTAAAGGACCATGGAGGAGCCAAAATAAACACTGAACTTGGCCCAGGTCTCAAGTTCCTGTGACACTCTACACATCTGTACTCTTCTCAGATTAACTACTTGGTGATGTTGCTTCCACCACTCACCAGTGAAATGGATGAGGAGACGTCATCTGTACTGCAGGGCAAAGGCCCAGAACAGAGTTTTCCATCTCTATGGTGTGTCAGACAAATGGGCAATGCAAATCTAGTGAATCCAGACCTTCAGGTATCTTGTTCTTTGTGGAGACTGCATAATGAAAGCCAAAGGCAGAAAGCCAGAACATCCAGCACCTACTCAGACCGCTGACTACCAGCCAGTCTGGGACAGTTTACATTCTGTCTGTCTGGACATGGTTCTGGGAACTGATCCCAATCACCACACAGACCTGATTAAGGCTCTGTGCTTCAGTTTCTCTCTCTGGATAGGCAATGGAGAATGAATTCCTTATTACATGTAAAACACTGTGATAAAAGTGAAGCTGAAGAGTCAATAAACTAAAAACATGACTTTGAGGTCTTTGGGCTTTAAATAATGGAATGAAAATCACTAAGATTCTCTTTTCTTTTTTGATTCTAAAGTAAAAAATCAGTTTATTCATCTGTTTGACACAGTACACAAGAGGCAAAGTGTTTCACATCATAGATTTCACTTCCAACTCCTTGGAATGTTCATTTCTTTGTCTAAAAGGAGTGATTAGATGGGAAAGCCAGATAATGCTTGGGCAACTGAAATAGGTTGGGGCAGGAGCAATGGTAACATCGTCCTCACAGTAATGGGCACAGGAGACCATTAGTCGCAAGCTGACTTTCTAGAATTATTAGCTGGAAGCACAGGGACACCATTTCTGGATATTTGAACACCATTTCTCGGGCCTCAGTCATCCCCTCCACACAGGTATAGCAGCAATTTCTGGTAGTCACCCTTGGTGTCTTGCTGGATATAATACTTCTTGAATTCAGACCTGATTTTCAACATGTCCACTTCACCTCAGGAGATCACGATTCTGATCAAGACCTTGTGCATGTTCCTTTGCCCTTCACGGAGTCATACAATCAGTCAGCAAAATACAGGGGCTTGTTCTACATGCACTGGACCAGGTTCAGGAAAGCATTTTCCAGGTATCCCTTAACTTTATGACTGATAAAGTTAAGTCATAAGGGCTTATGTCATAAGGGCTGTAGCTCATATACCTTTCAAATACTTTCTGGAGATGATACATGCTCTGTTTGGCCATGATGCTGATCCACTTGAGAATATCAGTTCCTTTTCTCTTCACTCCAGCATCATAGAGATCCCAAGCATCTTGGTCAATCAGATCATAATCAATGGCAGACCCATCATCTACTCTTCTACCCTTTACAAGGCCAACCATCAGGTTGCAGAAGTCACCAGATGTGTCAGAAATAATGTCCTCCAGTCAGTCTGGTACATTTCCTTGTAGACTCTGTTAATTTCCTGCAGCTCCCAGTTGGTCCTTGAGTATATGATCTCAATGACAGAGTCCTCATCAGTCCCCAGCCCCTTCATGGAGTCCTTCAGCTTGGAAGCATTATAGTGAGCAAGTGTTTTCAATAGGCCCAAAATCACCATCTCCAGGTGGCTGGACAAGGCTGACTTTAGTGCTGATGCAAGTTCCTTTTTGGTCCTTCTCTGGTAAACTAACACAATATCCTGCTTCTGTTCATTGCTGTGATTGGTCAAAATGTTGATGATGGTGACCTCATCCACACGTTTGGTCTTGATGGCCATTTCAATGTTTAAAGTGTTCCGGTGTGCATCAGAGTTGGTGTAGGCTTTGACTGACCTGTACACATTTGGTGGTATAGATTTATCACCCTCCAAGCTGAGCTTGCACAGAATTTCATGAACAGTAGACATTTTGAGAGAAGTAGGGCTGGGTGCTGAGAGCTGTGAGTGTCCCCAGATGCAGAGCCAGATTCTTAAAACTATAGTTTTCAGAATTTGCAAATGGTGTTCACATTTAAAGAAAAGTGGCAAATATTTAGTGATGTTGTTATAAAGGAACTTGCAATAATCAGAACTTGTTCCAGAGTGATTTTTCACCTCCCAAAATTTTTTTCAAACTCTAGTTCTCTGTCTTTTCCATTGAAGAACAAACCTGGAGCTTCAGCTAAGACTCTTCAACCTGATTCTGAATCCATTTTATATCTGTAGAGTCACATTGCCAGGGTGTCTAACAGGTACTTCCTAATCCCTTACACTAAATCTATCTTGAAGTAGAAAATTAACATATTTTAGCCCAACAGTTTCAAATAATTGAATGCTTAATAAATTTCAGGCTGCAGACAGAAAGAGCCTTTTTTCATAAAGTACTAATCTTCTTACTCTCTTGTTTTCAGATAGGCCCTCTTCAACTGAAGCTCTTCTTCTTTCTGATAGGTACTTGTATGACCTTAGTGAACACTTTAAGAAATTATCAACTATCTTACAACCATAAAATGAGGATCACTAACTTCCCCTCTCAAAATTCCAAGGTTCTTATTACTTTGTACTTCCTCTGTTTGGTCAATTCATATTTTAGTTCTGTAGTTTGGGGTAGCACATTTCCTGGTACCAATTTTGGTGATAGTGTCCTTAGCTGCAATTAACAAAAATTGGTCTGGATTTTTTATTTTTAATGTCAAAAAGGAATCTCCTGAAAAGATATTGGTTGGGTCAAATAACTGTTAGGAGGTTCTGTAAAGCCATGCTTTGAAAATGAGTGAAAAAAAAAGGAGTGGGGAGACATAGGCTGTGGCTAGGACCACAGCCCAAATAGCAAAACCAGCCCAGGGATGACAATGCTGAGCATCAGTTGCACTGCCATTGTCCTCCCAGCACTAGATCTGGACTCTGCCACTCCCTCAGTTGGAATAGAAAAGTCATATTGCTGTTGACACTGCCTGCACCAAAGTGACTTCTGCAGGGTCCCTTCTTTGTTCTCCATCTCTAGTTTCTAATTCAGAGTGTAGGACTGAGTGGTCAATCATAGGTCACACTTCCATGTTCTACTCCAAAGAGGAAGCTGAGACTCAAATATCTATCATTTTCTACTTTCATGGTGGTAAGTAAGATCTGCTTCTTATGAGTTAGAAAACCCCCAAACATAAGCAGTAGAATTCAATGCTGGGAAGGCAAAAAACAAATGTCCACTTCTTCACTACATCACCATTGTCTAACCTTAGTTTCATTAGCTGTCTGTTATAAACACTCTGTCCTTTACTATGACTCAGATTGTGCCAGCACCTCAGTCCCCACACTTGGGTTTTTCCTGTGGCTACATTCAACTTAAAGGAAGGGCAGAAACAAGGGAGGAAAGAATAGGCTACCCCCTCAAAATTTCCTGTCCCAGGCTCAAGACCTCCCTGGTAAGGATGGCTGTGTCATGGAGTATTTTGTGCCACCCTTCAAATAACTGGAAAAGCAGAGAACACTTCAGTTTTACCCAGTCACTGTGAGTCAGCTGGAGCATTACTTTTCCTCAGGCTTAAAAAAAATAAAACTGATACTTTAGAGTCTTATTTCCCCATGTTTCTTCTCTAATGTTTTCTTCTGAATGAGCATATCTGAATTCTGAAGAACTCAGGGGGAGGAGGCCCATTTTTGGTTTTTAGAGACAGCTGTTCTGCAGTAGCCTTCAGTTTCTTCAGGACACTTAACTCTGGTCAGACACCAGAATGTGACTGATAAAGGGTGCATATGATGACTGAAAAACCACTGATTACAATAAGTTACTTCTCTTCCTGAAGTTTTTGTTTCTACCTCCTGGGAAATAAATAAAATACAGATGGTTCCTATGGAAATTGCACTCCTGTCTTGCATTACCTAGAGAGTTCATGATATAGCAGTATGGCAAGACATGCTTCATGGTCTTGTGTCTCTATAATTATAGCTATGAAATATTAAAGGTGGCTGATTTGTTTTGGTGAGCTCTGAGGTTGTCCCTTTCCTATGGCATGGGCAAGGCTTAGCTCTATGCCTTCTTCACCAAAGTTAGGAACCAGCCTTCACACAGAGAAGAGAACTATGTTTAAAGGATTGTTACATTTTTGTCACCATAAGAATATTTACCTTTTCCAAATGTCTCCAAATTCTCCTGTGGAACAAATCTAGAGCAAAGTTTCTCAACTGTAGCAGTACTGATATTTTGGTTCAGATAGTTGTTTTTCATGGCTGCCCCATGTATTGCATGATGTTTAGCAGATGCCAATAGCACATATCTTGTCCCTGATCATTATAATAAAAAAGCCTCCAAACATTACCAAATGTTCCCCTGTGAAAAAAATCTTCCCACTCACAAAGAACTACAAATTGAGAAACATACTGGCTATCTAGTGAACTTCCATAGGCTGAACAAACTTCTATATACCAAGAAGTAGAGCTATCAAAAATCACATTCTGAATTTGGCCATCTGGTCACTTAAGCATGACCAAACCCTGCAAAAATTCTCAAGGTTATCTAAATACTAGAGTTATCAGGTTATATTTTTTAAAATGCTGATGCCCCAAATGGAAACATATTCTGTGTTCATGGATCAGAAGAATTAACATCATCAAAATGTCCATACTACCCAAAGCAATTTATAGATTCAACACAATACTTTTAAAGTATTAATGGCATATTTCACAGACATAGAACAAACACTTCAAAAATGTATATGAAACCATAAACAACCCAGAATAGCTGCAGCAATTTTGAGAAAAAAGAAGAAAGTAAGAGGGATCACAATATCTGATATCAAACTGTATTACAAGGCCACTATAATCAAAACAGCCTGGTACTGGCATAAAAACAGACAGATAGACCAATGGAACAGAACAGAGAGCCCAGAAATAAACTCAAGTCTCTACAGTCAATTAATACTTGACAAAGGTGACAGTAACATAAAATGGATAAAAACAGCCTCTTCAACAAATGGTGTTGGGAGAGCTGGACAGCTACATGCAAAAAAAATGAAACTTGAGCACCGACTTACAACATACACAAAAATAAACTCAAGGTGGATAAAAGGTTTAAATATAAGTTGTGACACCATAAAGGTCCTAGAGGAGAACATAGGCAGGAAAATCTAGGATATTCTAAACAGCACTATTTTCACTGATATGTCCCCTAGAGCAAGGGACATAAAGGAAAGAATAAACAAATGGGACCTCATCGAAATAAAAAGCTTCTGCGTGGCTAAGGAAAAGCATTGAAATGAAAAGAGAACCAATCATATGGGAAAACATATTTGCCAATGATATCTCAGACAAGGGTTTGATCTCCAAAATATATAAAGAACTCACATGACTCAACTGTAAGAAGACAAACAACCCAGTTAAAAAAATGGGCATAGGACTTGAACAGACACTTCTCCAAGGAGGACATACAGAAGATCCAGAGACACATGAAAAGATGTTCAATATTGCTAGCTATCAGAGAGATGCAAATTAAAACCACAATGAGATACCACTTCACACAGGTCAGAATAGCTATCATAAACAAAGCAACAAACTAGAA